GAAAAGACTTTCCACCTCTGTTAAAGTAAATCAGTTTTATTGAAGCTGAGATACCATTCGAATGGGTGGGGGGGGGGATCTGAAAGCCTCAGGGTCTGAAGTTCACAAAACTCCCACAGGAGGGGTATAAATCACCCATAGTTTATAGTGCCGTATGAGGAATTACAAACATTATTTTGATTGGTTTACAGTGATTGAGGTCAGTCAAAGGCAGGACAAAGCAAAGCCTGATTTTTAACAGTGGTTGCATTAATACCTCTGGAATACATTGACTAAAAGACATAATTGTAAATGGTTGTAATTAGGGGGGATGTCTTGACTGTCACAAAACAATGGTCTGATGGCTACTGTCGGGAATAGTTTGTTAAACATTACTTCACCCAGAGCATAAAATCTGGGGACATCTAACACAAAGAGTTGGATAAGGTTTGCCTACAGATTTACAGTCTTAGCCTAACCACAAAGCCTTAAGAGTAGGGTTGGTTCCTAAGCGGCAGGATTTGCATCTGTATGAAAGGTTATATTAAGCCTTAGAATTGTTGTTGTTAGGTGCCATTGAGTTGGTCCCTCCTGATAACATGTCCAAAGTATGTGAGACGAACTATTGCCGTCTTCACTTCTAAGGAGCGTTCTGGCTGTACTTCTTCCAAGACAGATTTGTTCATTCTTCTGCCAGTCCATGGTATATTCAACGTTCGTCACCAACAGCATAATTCGAAGGCATAAATTTTTCTTCTGTCTTCCTTATTCATTGTCCAGCTTTCGCATACATATGAGGCGTTTGACGTTACCATGGCTTTGGCCATGCACACCTTAGTTCTCAAAGTGACATCTTTGCTTCTTAACACTTCAACAAGTCCTTTGTAGCAGATTTACCCAGTGCAGTATGTCATTTTATTTCTTGACTGCTGCTTCCATGGGCGTTGATTGTGTATCCAAGTAAAATGAAATCCTCGACAACTTCAGTCTTTTCTACATTTATCATGATGTTGCTTATTGGACCAGTTATGAGGATTTTTATTTTCTTTATGTTGAGGTGTAATCCATTCTGAAGGCTGTAGTCTTTGATCTTCATCAGTAAGTGCTTAAGTCCTCTTCACTTTTAGCAAGCAAGGTTGTGTCATCTGGACATCACAGGTTGTTAACGAGTCTTTCTCTGATCCTGTTCTCTGATCTGTTCGTCTTCATATAGTCCAGCATCTTGGATTATTCACTCCACATACAGATTGAATAGGTATGGTGAAAGGATGCAACCCTGACACATACTGTTCCTGATTTTAAACCACTCAATGTCCCCTTGTGCTGTTTGAATGACTGCCTCTTGGTCTATGTACAGGTTCCACATGAGCACAGTTAAGTGTTCTGGAATTTCCATTCTTTGCAATGTTATCCGTAATTGGTTATGATCCACACAGTCGAATGCTTTTGCACAGTCAATAAAACACAAGTAAACATGCTTTTGGTGTTCTCTGCTTTCAGCCAAGATGCATCTGACATCACCAGTGATATCTTCCGTTCTACATCCTCTTCTGAATCTGACTTGAATTTCTGGCAGTTCCCTGTCCACTTACTGCTGCAACTGTTTTTGAATTATCTTCAGCAAAATTTTACTTGCATGTGATAATGATATTGTCTGATAATTTCTACATTCTGTTAAATCACCTTTCATTAGTTCATTAACCTTAGCATTCGTTCAGCCATCTCTTTTGATTTTACATCCCTTATCAGTTGTTAGTTGCCATCAGGTGGCTCTGGGTGGGTTCAAACGGCTGTTTTTTCAGCTAGTAGTCCAGCTTTTAAGTCCTGCGCTTAACGGTTTGCCCCACCCAGGGGCTCTCATTAGCCGGTGTTGTTAGTTACGTTGAGTCGGTTCCGACTTACGGAGACTCCACGTGCAGGGTTTCAAAGCTGTGACCCTTTGGGAGCAGATTGCGAGGTTTGTTTTCTCTTGGTGTGTTAGAAGTTCGAACCATCAACTTTTTAGCTGGTAATCAAGACGCTTAACTGTTTTCACCACCCAGGGGCTCCCGTCAGCCATTATGGAGATGTAAATCAAAACCGCTATGTCATCTTAACACTTGCGAATGGTGGGTAATGAAAAGAAAAGAAGTAGTAGCGCGTATCAGTGCTTTATTCCTTTTCATGGCTGGATAATATTCCACTGTATGGATGGACATGTTTTCTCTGTTCGTCCAATGATGGGCATGTAGGTTGTTGCCATGTTCTGGCTCTTCATGAAGAACGCCGCAATGAACGTTTGCACACACGTTTTTCTGTAGACAGACGGAGTGCGATTGCTGTGTCATATGGTGGTTCTACGTTTAACTTACGCAGGAGCTGCCAAACGGCTGTCCACGGTGGCCGCACCAATTTACATGCCCACCAGCAGCGTATGAGGGCTCCTTTTGGACCAGGATTCGAGGTCACCAACAAAAGACACAAACTACAGGCTCTGACCGCATTGCATAACATTTTACTCACATAGAGAGGGGACAGAGCAAAATCAGCATCCGTTGTGTGCACTGGTGTCCCAGGGCCGGCGAGTCCCCCCTCACAGATGGTTCAAGACTGATGTTCCATGCTCACCCCTCCTGTGCTGCAGTGGAGGGAGACCCTGTTCCTTCCCTACTGGGAACAGATACAGAAGTGGGTTGGCCCAGTGCTATATGGCGCCCAGACATGAGCAAGACAGAGGACGTTACTGTGTGCCCAGAACAGAGAGGAAAGCTTCTCCTATAAGGAGAAGAGATAGAGAGAAACCGAGTTCCTAGCCTCCTTATCAGAGAAATGTTCTGGGCTCAAGGCTTTTGCTTAGGCGGCCCAGATGGGAAGTGTAGAGGCAGAATGTCCTCCCAGCAACAGCACCCCCCCACCCCAATATCACTGTGCCGGAAAAAAGAAGGAAAGCACTCACAAATCATGGTATGCCCATTGTCCATTTCAGATACTGAACTGCATGTCCGTGGCATGGTGTTCCATTCTCATGGGTGCTATGTCTGGGAACGATTTGCTTCATGTTTTTACACAGCATTTAACGAGGGTTACTGATAGGACAGCTTCAGCAACACCAACTCTGCAAGCAGCCCGGACCGGGTGGAGCTCCCTACACAGTGGCTCCAGATTTCGCTGGGGTGTCGTCTGCGACCCCTTAAATACCGTGGGGAGAGGTGGGTGGTGTGGGAACGTGAGAGCAGTCGGGAGCCAGGGAGTAGTTTCCCTGTTCTTCTAGGACCCACTGTTTGCATCTCAGCTTCCAACCACCACACCAATTAATCCCTGCTAGCGGGCAGATTCCCCACATCCCTTTACCCCCATCTGGCCTGAGGGAGCCCAGTGCTGGTGTCAGTTGATCATCTCTCAGAGAGCCAGCCCTGTCCCAGAGAGATGAAGCCGATGAGCCCGTGTTTCCACCATGCCATCATGTGTCTCTGTTGGCTCCCCTGTGCCAGTCTGTCCCAGATGCTCCCTCCTTGGATACCTTCCCTGCCCATCCCCCAGTCTCCTGCTCTGCTCCCTGTGTTAATGCTCTGGGAGCTGTGGGGTAAAGGACCTAGTTTTACTCTAAGTAAGGTGACCTTTGTCCTCATTTCCAGAGAAATAACCTTTGGGGTAGTTGGGTGCCTTGGTCTGGGACTTTCAGGCCACACCTGAGGATTCGTGCTGGTGAGTGGGGACTGGCCAGACCAGAAAAGACACCCCTGGGAGGCTGCTAGCCACGCCCCTCAGGAGGCAGGATTTAGCCTGTCCTGCAGGACTGGCTGATAAAGCCCGGAACACAGGCTCAGGCTTGGAGAGGCTCCTGGTCAGCTGAGGGAGGGAGGGTGGCGTGCTCTCTTTGAGACGCAGCTGCTCTACACTAGGAACTTCCCAGACCTTGCCCATGCATCCCCGCCTTATGATGACCCTGATCTATATCCTTTTACTGCAGTAAAACCGGTGGTCCTAAGTATAATCTCTTCTGTGAGTTCCATGAACTGTTCAAGTGAATTAACAAACTCTAGGATGCTGTCCTCCTAACTCGTGAAGTGTGACCTAGCCGCGGGTGGCTAGGGCCAGAGAGGGAGAGTGCGGGTGGGTGGCTGGTGTCCGAGGTGACGGAGAAGCGGGAACGCGGGGACATGATTGATCTCCGCCTTCTGGAAGTTAACTTGATGCTGCTTCTCATCCATGAAGCTGTTGTTGTAGGGATGCTTGTCTCCTCCGACTTTTCTTGTCTACTGACTTTCTCTCCCCCTACCAGATGCTCTAGGCAGGGCCTCTGGGTGCGGGGTGCAGGGAGCTGAAATCCAGCCTGGCACCATCGTGGCCATCTGACCAGTGTCTGCCCAGCCCTGTCCTGCCCCTCAGCCTGTAACTGCCCCAGGACTGATGCTGGGTTTGCTTCCAAGGCCGCTGGACGGTCATGGAGGAGGAAGCATCCAAGCACAGAGCTTGAACAAGCTGGATGGGGCATGGGGAGCTGAGGGGCTCTGGGTCACAGCTGGCACGTTGGCCAAGTAGACTTGGAGGTTTTTGGAGTCGTGATGTAGGGATGAATATGAGCTGGAAAGAGACTGTTGAGATAGAATAGTGGTTCTGAAATAGGAGAGTGATGGAGAAAGAATAAAGAAATGGGGGGCTCAGGAAGGAAATTTGGTTCCTGTCACAAGTGCTTCTAAGTGTTGAGCTTTATTTATAACCAGTTCTGGCCATGACTGTGGTCCAAGCAGTCACAGGACACCAGAAGCCAAGGCCCGCTTGGTGGTATGAGGTGGGAGAAGGTAGTTATGTCCGACAGCTCTGGGCTGAGGGAGGCCTCTGCTCTGGGGAGCGAGGGGTGTGTCCCCAAGGTGCCTGTTATGGGGAAGCCAAGCAGTCGAGTCCTGCACATCTACAGGGCCTTGGTCCTAGGGTGCTGGCGGAGAGGCACCCCCTGTGTTGCGGCTGCCTCGTATTTGGGTCTGAAACCACTGAACCAGCCTGATGTCTGCTCTTTTCTTTCCTTTTCGTTGGGGTGTTAGGATGGGGCGTCCGTGGGCACTAACATCTTTGCCGGGACCAAGATAGACCTCAGTGCCTTGGAGCAGAAGCTGGACCTGGTCACAAGGACCCTCGCTTCCTTCAAGAGAGGTGAGAGTGGGGGGCGGGGAACAGGGTGGGGCATTGAGAACACTGATGCTAGCCCAGCTTTGGGGTTACTGACATGCACGGGCCTGAGCAGAGTTCAGGTTAGCCTGTAAAGCTCTGTTATTGTGGGAAATTTCGAGCATGTACTAAAATAGAAAGAATAGCATAAAGAAACCTCACGTACCCACCGCCTGCCTTCAGCACACACGTACTGGATTCTTTTGAAGCCAGTGCAAGACGTCATAGTGTTTCAGTCATAAACCCTTTAGTATGTATGTCTACGGGCTCTTAACAGAATAAACATAGTTACGGTACCCTTATCACACCCAAAGAGATTGGCAGGAGTCCCTTAATATCACGTAAAGGTACCAGCTCACGTTTTCACGATGGTCTCATCAGCGTTGCCTTGTAAAAATCAGGGTGTTTAACTGAGGGCTACAGAGTACCTGGCACTTTCTGTCCTTAATGTTTTTAATGATGTGGAACTGGGTCATTTTTCCTGTCAAGTGCCCCACGTTTTGGATTTTGCTGATTTAGTATATTTCTCTGATTCAGCTGACACTTACCCAAGCTTCCCCTTTTGGAGCTGGGGACCTTGGCGGTGGAGTGCAGCGCTACTCTGCAGGCACATGCCTGGCAGGGCTTGGGAGTCGGGGCGGGGGCCCACGCACCCACCCGCCACTTTCTGGAGGGAAGCAGATGATAAATGCACGTCTAAAATGAAGCATTTAAAGGTAATGACAGTATGTAGCTGTAAGAGCTCGCAGTCTGTCCCTGCGTCCCTGCAGGGCTGGGTGGTCTCTGTTAGCCTTTCTAACCCCCTGCACTGCGTCTTCTTACACTGCTGTCATCCTGGTGCGCGTTCTCAGCTTTACCATCGGAAGGTCTTAGGTTTGGCATTCGTTCTTGGTGGCTGTAAGATACTCTATCGAGCTGATGTACATAGTTCTCTTTCTGATACTCTGTTTTCTGGTTGGATAATTAAGCAGCTTCCGGGTTTTTACAGCAATTCTTCTGCGTTTCCATCGACGTTTTGTAGACAGCTCTTGGAGCTGCAGGTTATCATGGCTTCCTGGCTGTGATTTTCTGTCAAGCATTTTCTTTGGGGTTACGTCGTGGTCTGCGTCATTGCTTTGAATTCTTACTATTTCCCTGAGGAGATGTCGTTAATTTGCGTTCTTTGTGCGTTGAATTCCTCCCGCAAATAGTTTCCTAGGACAAGTGCCAACGTGGAGGCAGCCAGGGTTTGGCTGGACTCTGCTGGGTCTCGCTGCATGCTCCCCTGGCTGGGTGGCAGAGACCTGCCTGCCCTCAGGGACCGGGGGCGGGGGGGAGGGCCACCCTGCACCCGCTGGCAGCTGTGTGAACTCACTCCTGAAGACAGTAGCTGCACAAAGTCCCGTTCCTTTGGTTACAAGCACAATGGAATGGTTTTCTGCGTGCTTACTTACTCTCTTGTGGTTTGTCTGTGTATTTGGGGAAGTTTTGGTGGCTTTTCTTGAACCTGAACAAATGCTTTGGACGTCGTAGCGGTTAGCTCTTTATCATTTCATACAGATAATCCTTTTAGGGTTTTTAAATTCCCGTAAAGCTGAGTAAGTTATTCTCCCAGAGAGCTGGTAGGCACTTTATTCACCCTGTCATCTCTGTGTTCAGGGCTGTGGACGATCACAGGACG